CCCCCCCCCCCCCCCCCCCCCTCCCCCCCCGGCTTCTCTCTATTGTTTTTCTCCTAGCGGTAAGGAATGTACATGCATCGCGCTACCTCCCCCAACAACCTCAGGCATCTATCTGCTTGTGTTGTGTTCTTATGTCTGTTCTCGCCTTTCCTGATTCAGTATTATGTTTTTTTTTTTTTCTGACCTCCCCGTGCGCTCGATGCACGTGTTTGTGATATATATATATGGACACACTTCCGACCAACGACAACGGCACCCACAGTGCGAGCCGATCTTCTCGAAGATCTTGTCTCTGTACGCGGAGCAGAACGACCTCAAGTTCGCGGTGCCCGGCGGGCTTATCGGAGTGGGAACCAGGGTGGACCCGACGCTCACACGGGCGGACCGGCTGGTTGGGCAGGTGCTCGGGCTTAAGGGTAACCTACCGGACGTGTTTACGGAGGTAAGCGACGACGGAACTTGGACGTTTTCGCCGCCAACGATGTGCTCAGAGTTGTGTGCGATTTTGTTCCACAAAAGAGGAAAAGGAGTTGTATGGGCGTTCCACACATGCAATCGTTTGGAAGGGAGTGCGGTAGGACTGTTTTTTTTGGGTGTGCTTGGCAACGGGTTGTGGTTTGAGTAGGGTCTAACGTTGAGTTTTAAGAGTGTTTAAACTTTCGGTCCTAGAAAAGTTTAGTACGAGATTTGGGGTAGATCGGTAACGTACTACGCGGGGCGGTGATATCGTTGTGGGCTGAATGACGGCGATGGCATGCGTTCATCTACAGCAACATGAATGTTTTGCCATCCCATAGTTCGAGCCACACTACCATAGGGTAGACAGGTAAAGCCATCTTATCGATCTATGTACAGTGTGCCCCCTTTTTTCAACCCCGGCCCCCCCGTAGCCAGGAGAGGACGGCAGCAATACTGGGGCATAGGAAGTGGGCTGAAAGGGCGGGAAGTGATATCGATAGGGTAGATAGATCGACTAAGGACAACGTTGAGCCGCCTTTGGCACCGTAGGACCAAACAGTTGGCCATCGGTGTTCGGTGCTGTGGGAGCAATGCCCTCGAGGATGCGTGGTCAAAGGTCAAGCCGGTGAGGCATGCAAAACTTTAGAATACGCCCCCCGCCCCCCTCCCGCCCTGAGCCCTCGCCCTCTCGAGGACGTGTGTTCGATGGTCGAACAGCTAAGGCACGAGTATCCCCCCCCTTCTGAACACTCGTCCATGCCGGTGATTTGTCCTTTGTTTGCAACCCGCCAGGTGGAGATCAGCTTCTACCTCCTCCGGCGTCTGTTGGGAGTTAAGACGCAGGAGGGCGGCAAGCAGGTGAAGGAATGAACCCCACACGCAACCAAGCCTTCTGTTTGTTGTTGAGAAAACGTCGAGTTTGTTGTAACGAAGGACGCTTGGCCTTGCGATTGGCGCTGACGATGAGCCCACCCACCAGATCAATGTTGGTGACTCGATTCCTGTCTCACTCTCTCTCTTGCATCTCTCTGATTGCTCTCTCTCTCTCTCTCTCTCTCTCTTGCATCTCTCTGTGTCTTGCTTAATGTACATCTTTCCTACGACTGTGTATCCATCCATGCACATCGCGCCCTCTTTTGCTCCGGATATATATATATATATATACAGCATGCGTACCTTAATTATGTTCAAGCCTGCGTCTCTAGGAAATGGACATCCACAGAGAAAGCACGCGCGACACTCGCGTTCCCTACTGACGTCCCCTGACTGCCTGCACAATACCCCCAACAGGTCCTGTAGCCGGACGCACGCGACCGGATCACGGGTCCATCGCGTCAACCCCTCTCCCACCGCTGTACCAACTGCCGCAGATATGATAAGAAAGTCCTGGCGCCCATAAACTCACCCCAACAATTATGACGTCACTCGAGATCAAAATCTCACGCCGGCACATGCATGAACACACATGCCCTATACACACACGTTCCCCATGTTCTTTTTTTTTTCGTCGGTTGCACGCCGAAACCGTAGACAGCAAACGCTCGCCGACGAAGCCGTCAATGTTTTTTCCTTGTGTGTTCAACTATGGCTTGTGCAGGCCAAGGTGCAAAAGCTTCAGAGGCAGGAGATCTTGATGGTCAACATCGGATCCACGGCCTCGGGGGGCAAGGTGCTGGCGGTCAAGCAGGACCTGGCTAAGATTCTCCTGACGCAGCCGGTCTGCACGCAGGAAGGAGAGAAGATCGCGCTCTCGCGGCGTGTGGACAAGGTACGCATACATCTCTTCCCCCCCCCCCTCTCTCTCTCCCTCTTCTCTCTCTCTCCCTCTCTCTCTCTCTTTCTCTCTCTCTACGGTGGTCTCGTGTGGTGCCTTGTTTTTCGTTGACGCTGTCGTTGTTGAGTGTGCCGCTGTCCCGTTGGGTTGGGTTTGACGTTTTTTTTTGGCGTTTCTGTTGAGTTTTCTCGTGTGATTTGAGTGATGTCTTTGTATCGAGGTTGTAGGTGTCCCACGTGTGGTGCTTCGCTGACGTCGTGTACCGGGCTTGCTGCAGCTTGTTCGGTTTCACCCTTGCCAGGGAAACAACCGTTGTAAACAGTCCCCCTGTTCCTGCTGTCCCTTGTCCTCCGATTGTTGATACCATTATGCCCCCCCCTTCCCCTCGCGCGCTCCTTTTTGTTTGGCTACACACCGAAACAGCACTGGCGTCTGATTGGCTGGGGGCAGATCAGGCGGGGGAACAAGATCGAGATCCAGGAACCAGCAAAGTAGATAATCTAATTTAGGAATTTTGGGGGTTTGCCGCATCGTTGGGGGCTACACGTGGCGGGGGGGCGGGGCGGGTCATATGCGGGGTAAATCGCCGGAGAAGAGAGGGTAAAGAGATGACCTACGTTGAGCATCGAGGCGGCAAATGGATCTTTGCAGAGATCCCTTCTCATTCCGCCGCGTGTTTGTTTGTTCCCCTTTCTCTGCTCCGACCGGTCGAATGTCTTGCACTCGACTTGCCTGCTGCCATTGTTTTGTTCCCACTCTGGTCGTGTCAGTCTCTCTCTTCTATGTCGCAGCGCGAGTTACGTCTCTTAGGCGAGAGTGTGTTGTCGTCCTGTCTGTCGGACCCCTCGTCTCGAGCGTGTGCGCGGGAGACTGACTGCGTACCCCTTCTTCTTCGCTCACAAGCAGAGTGCGTTGCGGAGGCAAATGCTCGATTTTGGCGTGCGTGGTGTTTCGATGTACCCTGTTCCGAGCATGTTCCCTCTCCGCTACCGTAGCATGTCGTCGGCGCTTGTTCTGGAAGCAAGTAATACTTCTCAGGAAAGCTCTCGACGAGATATTTCCAAAACCGCCCTTTCCGACAGTGGTAACCTCCTGGTTGCGGAGAATTTACGCTTTGAAGATAGCTTGCACCCCTGTGCTCTAGCTGACCCGCAACCTTACGGTGATCCGAGTAGGTCCTCGAGCGCCGCGCGGGTTACCCGACGACGTCTCATGAGGGTGAGTGTGCTGTGCCGCTTCGTGGGCTTGTCAGTTACGGACTGTCTCGTGAAGTTAATTTCGCCGCCTCTCTTCGGTCAAGAAGGAAAAGATTTCCCAGGCGACCTAGAGCGTGTTCGTGTCTAGATTCCGCGAAACGGAACATGCGGCGCGGCGGGTGGGGCTTCACTTCAGTTCATTTGGGCCCCCGCTCAGTTCTGTAGGGTTAACCCTCCTTAGAAGAAAGAAGGGCGTTCTTTTTTTCGGTTTCCTTCTCGTGCTTGTTTTCGGTTGCCTGTCATGCCCGTTCTGAATCGCTGAAGAGTATCACAGTATCCGTTCTCTAGATCTATCTTTGGTGATGAAACGGTGTTTTTTGGCCTTCCCTCGCCTGCTTGTTAGTCAATCTTGTTTATCTTGTCTGTTGCTCGAACGAGACTCGCGGCTTGGTTGAGCTGGGGCTAGGGAATCACTCCCGGTGGCTTTGCAATAGGGTGACGTGGATTTGCCCTCGTGGCTCGCTCATCATGCCCCATCTCGCGAGTATGGGTCGTTCTCTCACGCGTGCTTTTGGTGTTGTATAAGATCGCAGGAATCGGTTTGAGGCTCAAAAAAAAACCGATAACATCAAACACGACCAACTATTACGGTGGAACATAGTAGTCAAGACCAAATTGGAATATTGTGTAACTTCAATACGGAGTCCCCTACCACAAACTATAGCGCGAATTGACGACAAAGCACAGAGCTCTCTAAAAAAAAAATCACCATGTCTTCGAGTAATATTACGAAATTAGTGTGTGATCGTACCCGGCGAAGTTCCAAAAATATTGAAGCGCGGTGTTCCAACGATGCGGCCCCAGGGCTTGCACAAGTGATCCATATATTGATTGAACAGGATGATACAGCCATCTCAATTGCGAAATATCAAACAGTTTGTCAGCTTGCACTCAGAATGGCGCCTTCTGTGCAGCCCCTTCGTGTCGCTGTTCGGGAATCAAAGTCGAAAAATATTGGCCCAAAAAAGGGCATTTTTTTTGGCATTTTTTTCAGCCCTCAATGGCATCTTACGCGTCCTCACCCAGCCACTCATCCGTCTGCTCCTCCACCCCATCCTCTATCTCATCCTCGGCCGTAGCCTCTTGGTACTCTGCCACTGGATACTCAAGGCTACCGATCGTACCGCTCAGGTTTCCACCATACAGGCCGATCCACTCGTCCATCTTGCCAATGGCATGCTGCACCAACTTGCCACAGTTGGCTGCCTTCCACCCCCTCTCCTGACCGTCCCATTCCGGGTCTCCATACCAACCGAGACGGATTTGCTTCCAGAC